TGTGTCGAAGGCTGTTCAGAAATCGACAAAAGTCATCCATAGGTTTATATTATATTCTGTAGCTTTCTCGATCATCTGCCTTACTGTGTGTAGATGTTCTGTCGTGCTATAATGGCTTCGGAATCCAGCCTGTTTCTTTGGTTGGTAAACTTCGAGTTTTCGCTCTAATCTGTTGGTGATTATTCTGGTGAATAATTTATATATTTGTGATAGTAAGCTTAGGCCGGTAGTTTTCGAGATCAGTCGGGTCACCTTTCTTGTAGAGAAAAACTACAGCATTCTCCCAATCTTTGGGTATATGTTCTTCTGTTAGACACTTATTGAATAGTTTCACTAGTTCTTGTCTCGTCTCAGTATCGCTTTCCTTAAGCATTTCAGGCAGAATGTTGTCTTCTCCTGCCGCTTTATCATTTCTCATCTGGGATAACCCTTTCTGCAGTTCTTCCATATTTATGTCGGGCATTTCTTCTGAGTTTGCATTTACTATTCATATTTTGTCTTCTCTTGTCCTTGTGTTTACTATTTTAGATTCATACAGATCTCTATAGAAAGATTCCACAACTTTTAATATTTCTTGTCGGTCTTCTACTATGTTGTTTTTCGCATCTTTTATTTTTGTTATCTTTTTCTTAGGTGTGTTATGTCTTTTAAAAATATATTTAGTCCTTTGTTCTGTGCTAATAAGGATTGCACTTGTTTCGTTTGATGTTTTAGTATATCCTGTTTCGCCATTTTTCTTGCTGTTTTGTTGGTTTCTGTGTATTCAATAGTATCTCTTTTACCCTCGGTTATCAGTTTTCTCCTTTTCTCTAGTAGCTGTTTCGTTTCTATCGACAGTTTGTCCGGCGTTTTCTCTAGGAGGCCTATTATCTGTTCTGCTGTTTCTGTTATAATTTTTGTTATTCTCCTATTGTTATCATCTAATGACTCTTCTGTTTTTCCTTGATTGTTGGAAAAATTTTCTTTCAGCCTTTGTTTGTATGTTTCCCTTCTTTCTGCTATTTTTCCTCTACTTCCTCTCTTCGTCGTTTGTTTCATCTTTCTTTTTCTTTCCATTTTTGTGTTTATGAGCAATTTGCATCTTACCATCCTGTGATCACAGCCGGTGTTGAATTGATTGACTACATCTACGTCTTGTATTATGTGTTTATTGCGGGAAATTATAAAGTCAATCTCATTTTTGGTTTGTCCATCTGGGCTATTCCATGTCCATTTACGTTTCTCTTTCTTTTGGAAGAAAGTGTTCATCAGATAGAGTCGTTCTCTTTCTAGGAAGTTTGCTAACATTCTTCCCCTTTCATTTCTGGTGCCGAATCCGAACTGTCCTATGTGTGTTTCCGTTGGTTCTGCTCCTCTGCCTATTTTTGCATTAAAGCGGTATGCATCTCGATTTTTGCCTAATATGGTTTTCAATATTCAACCTGGTTCTTCACTTTCATCTAGGTGTTTCTCTTTTTGTCGAAGAGTTTTATGTAGACTACCATATCCGCTCCAAGGGTCTTCGAGTTTTAAAAAAGTAAATGTCTAAGTCTGACATTCATGTATCATTATTGATAATACCTATACATTTTGCTTTTGAGATAGAGTAGAATCTTTTGGTTCTTTACAATCCATAAATCTTCGGCGTGATTTGTCATCACTATTTGTTTTCCCCATATTCATCTTCAGGTCCATTTCTTCCTATGTTCTTGCCAACTGACTATAGTCATCAATTAGGCAATCTCAATCACGTGATTTTATAATGGCCGTTCGGGTCAAATATTGCCGTGACAAGGGTGAGAAGCCGGTGACGTTCATAAGGAGAGCATTTGTGCACATTTGTGTTCAGGCCCTTGTTGCTTTCGAAGTGAATTTTATAGTGTGTTTCTACGTATTTTTTATTGGTTTTGGCCATTGTTGTTTTCATAGTGAATTTTATAGTCTTTAGTATTTCAACGTATTTTAGTGTTTTGACCCTATTGTTGTTTTCATAGTGATATTTATAGTGTTCATAGTGTTTCTACGTATTTCTTAATTTATTAATAAATTCTGAGATGAAGAGTGAATATTTTAAGGTATTATTATTAGGGGAAAATCGAGCCTGTGTTAGATCCTTTCTTTTAATTGCAGCAATCCATAAAACCCTGTATTGCCAAGGATTTAAAATAGCAGGAACTGAATAAAATTTCACATTTTTCCTGTTACCTCGACTTCCACACCCAATTATGATGCAAATCGCTGGCATTTTAATTAACACAATACCTAAACACACTAAAAAATACAAAATCCGATAATCCAAATCTGGACGTTTGTCCAAAATGTGACAGAATCAATGACATACAGAATAAACAACACAGTGCTTGACCCGAACTTCCATATTGAATTTCGTTTTTGACAGGTCAGTAGATTGCCTAATTGTTGTTCTGCGAAACTATTTAAAGGACCCCGCACATTTCTTATGGAAAAGTGATCTATGTGGAATTTTGCTGAATTTTTGATATTGTATATAGGGAGTCGTCCTTAACAAAAGTGATCATTGCGCTAATGTTCAATACCCAACAGTTTTCAAGATATCAATTAAAAACTTTTTTAATATGATACTCTTCAGTATGACGTCACTCACAGCAACGAAAATTATTACTATCCTTTCCACTTTTGACTTTGACTTTACTCTTCTCCTTTTAACATTAAGAAAAAAAAAAGATAGCGATAGCGATTAGTGACAAATAAGTAGGTATTGTAAACAACACCTAGCTCCTGCCGCAATCGTCAACTTCATGTCATGATGTCTGTCATATAGCGATTTCATTTGTACATGTTGTTGTTTTTTTTTTTATTTCCTAAATGTTGAAAGGAGAAGAGTATAAGTATAGGTAGTCAAAGTCAAAAGTGAAAAGGATAGTTATAATTTTCGGTGCTGTGAGCATACTGGTGACGTCATACTGAAGAGTATCAAATTAAAAAAGTTTTTAATTGATATCTTGAAAACTGTTGGGTATTGAACATTAGCGCAATGATCACTTTTGTTAAGGACGACTCCCTATACACAATATCAGAAATTCAGCAAAATTCCACATAGATCACTTTTCCATAAGAAATGTGCGGGGTCCTTTCTCTTATCTCCCGACAGTGTCGCCATCGTTGACTAAAAACCTAACTAAAAACCTTCGTCGCGATTCTCCCATTTGAGATATTTTTCTATAGGTGATATGTTCTGTGCCCAGTAGTTTGAAGTAAGTAATAAGATGTTTAGATGACATAACAAATGAAATTTTTAAATATGAAGAAAATGCTTACAGAAAGACATGATAAATAACTCTTTTCAGAAACCTCATGACAGATAATAACTATCAAAACTATATCTACAAATTCGCGAAAAACAGAATTTTCGAAAAAAACAAACCCACAATCGACACCACCTTCATTATCGAACCTATTACTTGGTCGGAGCTTTTGCTTAAAGACATCATCAGAATAATGCGAGAAAGAAAAGTGGATTAGATATTGTTGAAAAAGCAAAAGCTAATATACGAGAATAATAACCATTGTAGAACTAATATAAAAGTGATACATAAATGAACCGAAGAAGTACAAATACTCACAGGAATAAGGAAAAGGGATTCACTAAACCTTACATGTTTGAAAGGATTATGAAAACAACACTGAAAAAGTTACCTCAAATACAGAAATAAGCTACAACGTTGATAATGTGATACTTATTGCTGATTCATAAAACGATCTACAGATACTTTCACAGAAAACACAGACAAACTCAAATTTGTAGTAACATGGATATAGACGACAAAATGCAAATTTAGGGATTGATCAAGATTGTCGAACTTTAAAAGCTCTGGAAATAAACAGAAAGCAGTCGGAGAAAAAAACGATGGAAACAACTCGAATATCGATGGAGAAACAAATACTAACCTTACATCACCGATTAGAATAACAATTTTTAAAAATGGTATTTGAACTCTTGAGTTTACACTTGCATGGAAGCAGATTCTGTTAATTAGTCACTCTATGCAAGGCCAGCATCCACACAAAACCAGACCATGGAAAATACAAAAGATTATTTAGTGCAAACTTGATCTTCCATTAAAATCGTATACCTACATAATAGAAAATGTCTGTGCATACACAAATCTAAAAAGGCCTTCCATGCAAAACATTCAGACAAACATAATACAACAGGTTGGCCTGCAGGCCTGCCAACACAAAACAAAATAAATCGAAAACGTGCTATCCTACGCTCGAAATTCTTTATTATAAAACCGCGACTCGCTAATTCGTTTCATTTTAATATCGATTCTGGGGTTCAATAGTCGATTTTATCGGACGCAATCCGTGGGTTTTCTTTTGACAAATTCGCACACACAAACATAAGAATGTAATGTGTAAATATATTTTATCGGGCATACGTAGGTATGGAGTATTGTGGAATATTTAAATTTAATGGTGGCAATAATGTGACCATGGGAGGACTGGACCGCGACCGTTTAGATAGGGAAATTATTGCTTTTGTGCAACAAAAGACAATTTAATTCTGATAATGTTGCATAATAATTCTGAGTCTGTTATGGACCCTGGAGGCGACATCGGAGTATGCTTACCTATGTTTTATAAAAAAATCTTTCTAACGATGTTCTATTTGCGTTAAATCATTAACTTATACCTGTGAACTATGCTATTAAATTCAAAAAAAGTAACTACTTATGCAAAATAATTATTGGCAATAATGGCATAAAAATATGCACGTTTTTGGCCTCCTAACACAATTCATTTAAATGTTAAAAGCATCAAATTTGTAACGATGACATAAGCAACACAGCTTATCAGTAGAAAAAGAAGAATGGCCAACAATGACTAATCAAGATTAAACCACAATTTATCACTTCAACCGAGTGTGTAACCAATTATGCAAGCCTCCTATTACGGTGTTGATTCATAATTGTTTACTTCTACCAACAAAATAATTTTAGTTTTCAACACCTACATTTAAAACGAATTAAAATTCTCACCATTTCATCCAAACTCTTCAAATCGTTAGTCACAATCTGTGGTACCGGACCATACATCATCGGTGGTTCTTCCTCTTCGAATTCGCTATCGCTATCATCGTCAAGTTCGTTACTGTTCTCGTTACCATCGTTAAAACCTAGTTTCTTTTGATCAGCTGCTATTTCTCTATCGATTTGACGTTCCATTTGGACTAGCATTGGTGCCAACATACCAAATCTACCAAAGATTTGTATTGTATATAGAAATCTGAAATATGATGAGAAAATATGTATTGATCGTACCTTGCTCCTCTTCTAGCAACTTCCAGCAAGCATAATATGACGTGTTTTTCGTTTTTTCTCATTATAAGGTCGTCGGATTCGAACAGAAGGCACTCGATTATTTCTAGGCAGAATCTGCACCAGTTTATGAAGTTGCTGACGTTGTCTCTGAAAACGAAAATTATTGCTGTGAATTTTTAATAGCAATCAAATCAAATATCATTAAAACCAAAATAAGTACCTAAGTTAGCTGTGTAACAACAATACGAATAATAAGCTTTTAAATAGTAGTCACAACACAAGAAGTATGCATACAACATACAACAAAATAATCGTAAATCAGAAGTTTGCAGTTAATTCGTCAATTTTTTTTTGTTAAAATTTCCACTAAAGGCTCATGATCAGTTGTAATTAAAAATTGTTCTCCCAATAAAAATTTTCTAATACGATATACAGTATGAGTTGTTCCTAAAGTTTCTTTCTCAATCTGAGTCTGAGTACCATTTTTCTGGGTGTCTCACTGACTTGGAAGGTCTCCAATTTTCATCTGATTATTTTGCTCAATTATTCCTTTCATTCCTAGCCTGCCATTAAAGTATATACATATGAACAGGGTGTCCAAGAATTGATGGTTTTGGCGGGTTTCGGGTTTCGGGTATTTCTAGAGGAGTTGGAAAAAATCTGACCCCCACTTGCAAGCCTCGATTTTCAAGAGAAATTTACCGGTGAAACCCCCATTTCGATATCTCAATTCGTTTTAAAGCTACAAGAGGAAAATTTGACCAAATTATTATAAATAAAAAAGTTATAGACTCCCTGCCAAACTTTCAACTTTTCAAAAACCCCTCGTAACGAGTCGACATATCGAGATGCTGTTTTCAGTAGTCAATTTCTCTTAAAAATCGAGGCTCGCAAGTCGTTGGTCAGAATTTTTCCAACTCCTTTAGAAATACCCGAAACTCCCCCACAATCATCAAATCTTGGACACCCTGTATTCATCTAACATTATGCTGGAAGGACTGAGGCGTGGAACTTCAGTCAACATAATTTTTATATCGGATTTTTTTAAATATTTTTACTCTATACAAATTTGTTATACTTTAATTCGACAATGGATCTGAAAAAGCCAAATGGTACCTACACGAAAGAAGAGGAGCGAGCGCTGCTTCTTCCGAACAAACACTTCCCAGGTAGTAAACCAACAAGAAGAAGTGAGGAAAGACTGAGAAACAGCGAAAATGGTCCTCACTCGTAAGCCTTTCCAGCACTCCTACATGGCTAGATATAGCCAGAAGCAGTATGGCAATGAGATATATACCTAAAATTTGGAGAACGCAAGAGTCACTCTTATTCCTAAGGCAGGCAAGAAGGATGGGACAGACTACAAATCCTTCAGACCAATAAGTCTAACATCGTTCCCTCTAAAGACGATTGAAAAGGCAATAGATGACTAAGTGTTGCCAATCGGCGGAGAATTCTTCGTTTTTCGGAGAATTTTGGGGTCTGCGGAGATTCGCTTTTTGCGGAGAATTGTGCGGAGATATTTTTTTATCATTAGTGACAAAAATTGAAAATTCAAAATTTCAGCTAAAATACAAATGTAAAAAGGTATCTGGGATTCAGTGATTCGGAGCGAAAGAGTACAGTGCCAATTTGCAAATTCGATCAGTCCCCTACCTCTCTTTTATTGATTGCCAACATCATACGAAACACGTCACACGTCTTTAAATTTTAAACAAAGAGTGACTTATTTATTGCTTATTTGAGATAAAAATGTGATGACATAAAGTCTGTTTTTTTTTTTAAGATAAAAGTCAAGATGACATTATGTTGGCAATACAATGTAAAATTGTCAATGCTTTCAAATTTTTTAAGTAGGAAAGGCTTGTGTTGCCAACATAAAGTCTGTTTTTTTTTTAAAGATAATTCCCCAAGTCAAAAATTTGGTAACTATGTTGGCAACACAAGCCTTTTCTACATAAAAAATTTAAAAGATTGACAATTTTACATTGTATTGCCAACATAATGTCATTTTGACTTTTATCTTTAAAAAAAAAACAGATTTTAGTTACTAAATTTTTGACTTGGGGAATGGACCTTTCTCATGCAATGAACAACAAGGATAGTTTATTAAAATTCATGTAATTAAGAAAGAGACACATGTAATGAAGCGGGATACCTGTGTGGAATGACTTTGATTGGTTCCACTTGTGAAATTGTGCAATTTCGGTTATGTTTCTGTTTTTGTTTATTTTTAAATGTAAGTATGACAAATATGTGGGGGAAAAGTTTAGAAAAATTTGAGAAGTACGAATTTGCAAGTGCTAACAAACCTTTAATTGTACAATTATTATTGTATTTGATATAGAAATCGTTATTTTATGAACCCTCAAACCTCTGTTCCAACTTAAATCGTCTTCAGTCAAGTTGAAAGCATGTAACCATTGTTTTTTTAAAATTTGATTGTTTGGGAACTTGTGAAAAGAAAGGTTTGACTTCTTTTTCGCCTTAGGGAGGATTTTCATGCATCCGTTTTTCCGTCGAAATATGTCCGAAAAGTCTTCTATTTTGACATATTTATATACGATTATGTCAGAATAGAATGTTAAACGGACATATTTCGTCGGAAAAAACGGATGCATGAAAATCCTCCCTTACTCTGACAAGATCTCACACAACACATTTGAACCATTGTATAATAAACAGTTTTTGTAATAATTTTCAGCAAAATTGATTGATTATTGAGGTTAGCTTTAAAAACGTCAGGGTCAGACCGCATTCATTCAATTGACAATTTTATTATCTGTCACCCACAAGCTGCTAGCGCAACACAGGTAAAATGAGAAAGGTCCATTATCTTTAAATAAAAAACAAACTTTACTTTGTTCCAACCCAGCAGGGAACCGTACATTTCACCGTCAGGATTCTGCGCCAAACCTAAAATTTGTGAGCATCAGAATCCAAGAAAAATGTTTCCGAGATTCGTATACAGAGTGGTTCCGAAACCGTTCTAGAGACGTTTGGGACGTTTTTTTTTGACGGGGTGGAACAGATCCCATAACGTTCATCCATAAATTTGAAATTCTTGAGAATGAATAAATGGTTAATGGGCACGTTCTAAAGTAAGGCTAACGACAATCGACAATCAAGCGGTTCGACTATTTCTCAAGAGACACGAAAATTATAGCTTTGTTCCGACACAGCACTAAACCGTACACTGTACCGTCACGATTCTGCGCAAAGAACAAAATTTGTGCCTAGAATGCGAAATTCATATACAGAGTGGTTCCAGAACCGTTCATTGGATGGTTTTTGGCTTGTTAGAATACACCTTATAAAAGCGCAAAATGCGGAGAATTTTATTGGTCAAGGTGGAGAATTTAGGTGCGAAGGATTTGCAACACTGGGATGACTATATCAGATCCATTACCTTGGAAAGGTGGCCTTTGAGCACAAGTTAGATGCTTGCAGAGCAGGCAAGTCCACTGAGGCAGCTCTGTTCCAACTGACGAGCATGATACGAGAAAGAAATCGCATTATGCGGCTTCCTAGACATCGCTGGTGCCTTTGACCACACATCCCATATGGCCATCACGTGGCCATTCGGAGAGCACTTACGAGAAGGGGGATCAGCGACACAATATCTCGATGGATGTGTGAGAAGCTTGCCACAAGGACACCAGAGCACTGAGTTTATTGAAGTGAGCACCACTCGAGGCACTTCCCATGGCAAAGTATGCTCATCCATGATATGGAGTTTAGCGGTTGAATGGATGGGTGAACTGCTAGGAATACTGATCAACCTGGGCTGGCACTGCGTTAGGTATGCCGATGATATCCTCATCATCGCAAGAGGAAAGTTCGACAGCACCCTTTGTGAACTCATACAGACTGGACTCAAAGCAATGGAGGAATTGTGCCAAACGTCTATGTGCTAAACAGTGGAACTGGAGATAAACCCGAAAATACATTGGAAGAGTTGTAACCAAGGCTATGCACGTGTGTGCCAAAACCTTGCAGGCTGAGGATGCAACTACACTATGATAGTAAGACCCACCCTACTACATCGAAAGTCTAATTCAAGGAAGGTGAGAAACAGACCATGGAAGCAGCTCTCAACAAACTCCAGGCCTGACGTGCACAGTAACACAGTAACAATCGAGACAATTGTAAGTTAGCACCTCCTCACATCATGGTGGAAAAGCCTGCTAGACGAGCAAGACTAGAATCGCTAGGGGAGGAACTGGCGAAAGGAACTGGCTTGGAATGAGAAAATTGGAATTTCTAAATAAGCCTATTCCGCTTCTCGAGTTTTCCAGGTCGAAACATAGAATTTTGATAAACGCTTCATATTAGTGATAAACCGAGAATAATGGGAAGGAAACACCACATCCATTCTTTCAATGCAGCAGAACACTTAAAAATGGTATACTGATGGGTCAAGAACTGAACAAGGGACCGGAGCCGGAGTTCATAGGTCTGAAATCAAGTTCTCCGAAGCAATGGAAAAACACGCTATAAGTAAAAAAAAAATAGATGTGCTGAGTTCAATCTTGACAGAAACTACAAACAGAGAGAGATTCTCATATTCTTATGGACAGTCAAGCAGCCATATAATCAGCTCCAGAATAATTTGTAAATCCCTGGACAAATTTAATAAACTGGACAAAAATATCCCTTCAGTGAATATCGGAACACGCTGGGATCGAAGACAATAAGAGAGCGGACCAATTGGCAAATTTGGGAGCACAAACTTTGCTTTCAGGACTAAAGCTTTTTTGTGGCATAGGGACGCATGCCTATGAAGAAGAGTTCAGAAAGGAACGGCGGACCAAATTGAACAGCCTCTGGGAACAACTTTCAGGGATAAAGCAATTAAAGATGTTTCTCAGGCCCAGGGCCGCCTCTAGGTAATTTGCCGCCCTGGGCAATAAGTAAATTTGCTGCCCCATCCCATGGCCCACTTAGGGAAAATGTGAGAGATCTTGAATTATAGAAACAAAAAATAATTACACGAAACAGTAAGGCATAGCAATAAAACCACATACCATAAACCATATGTAACTTAGGTAACCACAAAAAAAAAAAACTAACATAAGAAAACAAGAAACATAACAAACAAAGTAAGAGTCAGCCAATCCAAGCTCTTGGCAACAATCAACAGATAC